GATCCAATAAAACAAATGCCTTGAAATCGTCATCGAAGGGAAAAAGAGATAGAGATATTAGTCATTGAGCGATGGTCGGGTGAAAAAAGTTCAATCATTAGTTGGCACATGACACAATGCAGTGTGCACAAGAAGAATATGTTAATTCTGGGTAGTAAGGCTTAGAATAAGAACTAAAAAAATAAGGAAGTTATAATCATTATTTAGAAATTTATAAAAATTAAATCACGTGATTGCAGAAATATAGTACAATATCATCTTAATAAACGAACTCTTATTGGTTTTAAAAATTAAAGTTAAGGTTATAATCACAACATTTTTATAAGTTAAAAGTATACTTTTTCTTAAAGTGGCATTTTTTTTTTGAAAAATCCTCATACTCTTCCAAAGGTACCAAAAATGTCGCACGAATTGTGAAATAGAAAAAAGCGTTGATGGAGGGTGTTTGGGGTGGGGGATTGGGATTCCATATATATGTGGGCGAGTATCGTGTTGGCCCGTTAGCTTTAAAACGCCCACACCAGCACGATCAGTCGCCCCATCCCTCTCTAACTGACACCACAGCAGCTGCATTCGTAGTATCACAAAGATTAAAATGAAAACAGAAAATATTTCTCATTCCCGAAATGTTTATGTCAAAGAAATGGAAACCCATGCAGAGGCGGAGGTGAAAATGAAGTTGAAGAGGGGGACTGGGCGGTAAATTGTACGTTTCTGGTGAACTGAGATAAGCAGAAATGTGTAAACCGAAAACTTTATACTCTTGGACGCCTTTTATTATTGACACTGTGGAATTTTTCAGAAATAAATCTATGGCATCATTGCTTTTATGGAAAATGTATTGACCAATGCGTCCCATTTTTATGTTGTTGAATTTCAGTTAGAAGTAAAGCTTGAAATAATGTATTCACTAAAGACTTTTGAATTTTTCATTCTTCATAAATGTTCAGAGCTATTTTTAAATATAGTACTGAACATTTTCTTGTTTTATCTAAAAAGCTTAGAATAAAATTATGGTTCTATGTGTGTAAGTATTCTTAGATTTTTCTAGGCCAGTCCGACATATGCTTTATAATTGGTTATAAAATTCAAAAATATGTTACCCTACTTATTATTTTAAAATGGAAAAACATAAATTTTTGTAGTTTGGAATTTAAGTAGTATTTTTCCTACAGTACCCACTGTACTGCTAAATGTTCGGTGGCCTGGCTATCTGCATGATCTCAGCATTATAATGAGCCAAGCAAATGCGCAGGCGTATTTTCAGCAGTGACAAGATTGCTTACAAAACATACAAAGTGGAAAAATATTTATCAAGAAGCTAAAAGGAAAAGCGATCCCCAAAATACAAAAGGAAAAAACAAAACAATATTTTTATGTGTCGCGTGGACGCGACAAGCTGCTGTCGTAGCTTTTTTTATTGTCTCCGCCGCTGTAGCTGCCTGATATATGGAAATGTTTTATGAGTGCGGACTGCACTTTTGGACTGTCGCCATAGATGTTGACACAGACAAAAAAGCGCCGGGATTGAAAAACTTGACTGGGAATTGAAATTAATTTGCTGCCAGAAGGCGGTGGGAGGAAATGTGGGAGGGGAATAGATTGCACATTGCATAATTATCAATGACGTAGAACACACAATCTTTCTCTTTGAAAATATATGTATGTAATCTTTTTCCAGGGACAGAAACAGGATTTGGTCCAATTAAAGCAAACATCAATTCTCATTTCGTGTGTGTGTTTACATAGAGACATGTACAAGCCGATTTGTATGTTTTTTCTTCTATTATCCGTAACGAAGCGTTGCCTTTTTGTCATTGAAACGCTCTCTGGTGTCTGGCTTTAGCCAGATCTGGAAAAACTGGAGCATGCAACGTTTCGATTTGGGCCTCTTTTTGGGCAAACCACTCGCTTATAAATATATACTTCAGTGCATATGGGCAAGGTCATCGCTTTGGATGGGTGGGTTGTGTTGTGTTGTGTTGTACCTCTTTGGTTTGGGTGTGTGGAGCCAATGGAGCATTACGATTAGAGCTGAGCAGCCCGTTATTAAACAAAAAACTAGTTCGGCTTAATAGTTTTGCTGTAGGGTACCGTTTAAATGATTGTGTTGGATTACTAAAAGTGGGAGCAGTGAAAGTCGTATTTATTGAGCCCGTAAAAAAAGCATTAGGTGTAAGGTGATAGTGGCCATAATTTTATTTGAACCAATTAAAGACTAAATGATTAAATTAATATTGAATGCTTAGATATACATACTTATCAGTATAATTTAAATAATATTAACCTAATTTTTACAAATTTCAAGTTTTACTCAACTAGAATTTATTTTATTTATTTATTTAACATTTTTAAATTAATGTAGTATTTCGAATAATCCATATAAGCAATTCCCCCACAAAGTTTGTTGAGTTTTTTGGGTGAGGAAATCCATTCAGGATTTCATCCAAAGGGCTCTTGAATATATGTCTCATCCACATCAACTGGCCGTCATTCAGCTTCATCCTGCGATTCCCAACAAGTCAGCTTTTCGCTGGGTATTTCGGGGATTTGCTGACTGCCGCTCAAATGTCACGGCATCCACTCGACAGAGAATGATGCCTGAGGGCCTGAGCTATTGACTTGCCACTTTGAATAGCACTTGACTAATCCCCCGCTCGATTTCTGCCTTCTCTTTGCAGCCTGTGCGTTTCGTTCTTTCCACGCTTGTGACCCGTAGCCCACGTCCACTTTTGTGGCGTGTGCAACCAGAAGCCGCCAAGACGACTTACTCGATAATGAAGATGAGCTCGCCCAGGATTATGCAGCAGAAGAGAAGCAGCAAGTCCTCCAACTCGTCGCGGGTCTCGATGACCACTTCGACGGCGGAGGAGAATATCCTGGAGTCGAAGCTGTTCAGCTGGATGCGTCTATTCCGCTTCGCCTCGCTGCTCTGCCGCGCCGAGTAACGGAGCTAGTCTATAAGATCGAGATCCCTCACGCGATCCTTCCCCCAAAAAATGTTAAGAGAAATGTATATTACAGATACTCGAACTAGCTTTTCAGTCAAGTTTTCCTATATATAATGAGACACCAACAGAAACACCAACCTACTGTCACCTTAACTTTTTCCAGCAATGTAGAAAATAAGCATTTCAAAATGAGTAAAGAAGGACACACCTCCAACCAGAAATACCATGTTAAGTTTAAGCTGAAAAGCAATGTATCCAAGGAAAACAATGTTTATTTTAATCTCCTTTTTGGGATATCGAAACAGTTTTCTTTCAGTTAGCTCTTCACAATTAAGTCAATTTTTAGTGTAAATTCCGTATAAACAACGGAATTTCTCGCGCCTTTCGTACCTTTTGTATTGTAATAAGTGAGAAAAAAATGAGACACTTACAAATTGCAAAACTACAAGCAAATAAATATAAAATCATAATCCACTTATTGCTTTTATTCGGGTTTATTAGTGCTTAAGTTTCGAGAACAGCCGACTACAACATGAGGTATATTTTTGTAATTACAACACTGTTTTGCGTGTCACAAACAAATAAAAATAAAACATCAAGAGAAACGTTTATGCAGGCTATTAAATAGATAAATATATTAACTAAACAAGCGAGCAAATGCAGTACTAACAATAACAATACGATGTATACATGTAGAGAAATATATTTACACATCAAACTCGAATCCGAGTGTTTATGCAAAGTTGCTTATCCAATACTGAAAAACACATAAATATTAATACTAATTCACAATAGTTATCCAAGCCCAGCAATATGAGAAGTGCATTTAACCCAAAGAAGTTGCCAAACGACAGCTATTGTTGTTAACAAATTAGCAATGCAAAAACACAATAGCGGAAAAAGTATCTTAGTTTCTGTACAACCTCAGAAAGAAATGCAAAAATAGCAATGAAAAACCACGACAACAAGAACAAATACAGTTATCAGAGATTTTCGAAATTCAATTTTAATTATTAATTAGTTGGTAAGCCAGAAATGCAACCTTGCAACATGAACAACATAACGGTAATTATGGTAAATGCCAAAAACAATGAAAAAACTGTACTAGAACATACATAACAATATCACTGCAGCAGATAATTGTTGAGAAAAATGCAATAAATCGATATCGATCAATAAATAAAGTCTTTAAGCTGTTGAGTGTTCAATGCAATAAAATCGTTAACTTTGTGTTTTATTTTCTTTTGGATTAAATATAATTGGCACCAAAATCATGGATTACATCTGGTATTCTGATTATTAAGTGGAAGTGCTATGTTATAACTATCCCCCCTTTCTCCTTTTTATACCCTTGCAGAGGGTATTATAATTTTGGTCAAAAGTGTGCAACGCAGTGAAGGAGACATCTCCGACCCTATAAAGTATATATATTCTTGATCAGGATCACCTCCTGAGTTGATATAGCCATGTCCGTCTGTCCGTCTGTCCGTCTGTCCGTCTGTCCGTCTGTCCGTCTGTCTGTCCGTCTGTCTGTCCGTCTGTCTGTTTCTACGCAAACTAGTCTCTCAGTTTTAAAGCTATCGAACTGAAACTTTGCACACACCCTTATTTCCTTTGCACGCAGTATATAAGTCGGAACGGACGGGATCGGCCGACTATATCCTATAGCTGCCATATAACTGATTGATCGGAAATGCCATAACTTTGGTGTTTGTAAAGTTAGAAAGCTGGGACTTCCTATGGGTTTTATATTTGGCCAATCAATCCGACCTACCAAATTTCATAAGGATCGGCCGACTATATCCTATAGCTGCCATATAACTGAACGATTGGAAATGCCATAACTTTGGTGTTTTTAAAGTAAGAAAGTTGTGATTTTTTATGAGTATTAAGAATGCATCATATGAATAATTTTGGAGAATATAATTTACAGAGTATTCTGCAAGGGTATATCAACTTCGGCTTCGCCCGAAGTTAGCTTTCCTTTCTTGTTTTATTATTGGTAGTGTATTTTATGAAATAAAATGTTGGCCCAGTGAAGTAAATTGTCGCGGCTTAAATTTTGAATCATCCCCTTATCGATAATAACTCGATAGCACAACATATGTTCTTGATGTTAACAGTACAGGGTGTTTAGAGTACTTGAAAGATTTATTCAGTTTTGAGATAAAGCAATCCAAGAAATCGTCTATTTATTGTTTATCTACAGTCAAAAACTTGAACGACAAGAATTTCATGGAAAAATGCATGTTCTTAATTTGCATGGCCAGATCCAGGATGTCGAGGGCTTCCAAATAATCCCACACTACTCACTAGAAGCGTGGTAGCCCCAACCAAAATAGTCTTACAAATTTTGTAGTTAAATGTAATGTCCTACAATCGTGAGTATGTGTGTTATTTTATTATTTATAAATGTTTACTAAAGTACGGTCTATTCGCTTTCAGAGCAATGGAGGAAATCTGTCGTGTTTGCCTGGGGAACCACGATAACATGGTCAATATATTCGGAGGTCCACAATACTTTGAAGCGCCTATTTCGGATATGATTGCTCAGTGGTCCGGCTATCAAGTTATGAAAGGCGACTCACTTCCTGAAACGATATGCCCCACTTGCTTGGAAGATGCACAATATGCATTTAAGATTCAAGAAACTTACGAGATTAAACAAGAACTAGTAAAACTTGAGAAGGATTTACCGGAGGAGAAGTTCTGCAAAACATCATACTGTGAAAGTGAAACATCAAGCCAATTTCAAGTCAAGGAAGAGATAATTGAACAATTATCAAATGATGAGAAGACAACCCAACAGTTCCAATGCCTACCGATAACCGTACCAATAGAACTAGACTTATTTGAGGATGAAATCCTTAAGGTATCCGTTAGTGAAACAAATCAATCAGATTTCAATATTCAAGAGGATGGAGAAAGTGAGGTGTTAGTGGGTGAAACAGATCTTTCAGATTTCCGTATTCAAGAGATTGAAGTCGGTGAGATATCTCTTGGTAAAACTGTTGAATCCGATTGCTTTATTCATAAGGATGATCTCAATGAGATTTCAGGTAGTGAAACTAATCAATCCGATTGCTATATTCAAAAGGATGAAGTGAGTGAGATATTAGTATGTAGAACTGATCAATCAGATTACCATATTCAAGAAACTGAAGTTCTTGATTCCAATCAAAATACTGAGAATGACAATAATGAATGGGATCTTAGCAATGACAAACTGTCTTTTAGTTGTCCGTACTGTCCAAAGACCTTTAAACGCAAATGTACTTTGAAAATGCACCTTCTTAGTCACCGAGGTAAGTCACCTCATAAATGTTCTGACTGTCCGAAATCTTTTTCACGACGTTGGGATCTTCAAATGCACACCAAGGTACACACGGCGGAGCGACCGCATAAATGTGTCCACTGTCCGCTGGCTTATAAAATTGCAGCAAGTCTAAATCGACACATTGTAAAATATCACCCAGAAGATGTCCGAGCTCCCACGAAAAAAACATCGCTTAACTGTTCTTACTGTTCAAAGATCTTTTCGAAACCTTCAGCTCTGAAGATTCACATTCGGGTTCACACGAAAGAGCGTCCGTTCCAGTGTTTGCATTGCCCCAAGACTTTTTCATTGAAGAACTATTTGACGGTACACGAAAGGACTCACACTGGGGAACGGCCATACAAGTGTAGTCACTGCTCAACGTTTTTTTCTAGTGCTACACATCTCAGTCATCACCTCCGAGTACACAAGGAAGAACGGCCGCTTAAATGTAGTCATTGCCCAAAGACTTTTAAGCATCCCACTTCACTTAAGGTGCACATACGTATTCACACCGGGGAACGTCCGTATAAATGTGAACATTGCCCAAAGGCTTTTAAAGATCTCTCCTCTTACAGAGCGCACGCAGTGGTCCATTCGAGGGATCAAGCTGCTTTTAAGATGCGTAAAAAGACCTCGATTAAGCCGTTCAAATGTTCACAATGCCAAAGGTGTTTTACGACAAAAGGAGATCTTGGGCGACACAATCGAATTCACACGGGGGAAAGACCGTTTAAATGTCAATATTGTCCAAAGTCTTATATAGCTAAGGCCCCTCTTCAGGTGCACATCCGTCTTCACACAGGCGAAAAACCATTTAAGTGTCAGTACTGTCAAAAGTGTTTTAAGCAAAACAGCGAACTTAGGCGACATATCCTGTGTCACACGGGAGAAAGACCCTATAAATGCGATTATTGTCCAAAGTCTTTTAAGGATTTAACTTCTATCAAGGTACATGTTCGTTCCCACACGGGGGAGCATCCGTTTAAGTGTTCCCACTGTCACATGTGTTATAAGCAAAAAGTCCAACTCAACCGACACATGCAGACGCACATGGGCGACACTACCGAATAACTCGTATCTTAAGAAGTACATTCTAACTCACTTTAAGATAGTTTAAATATTTTAATAATTTTTTTATTTTTATACTCATGTTATTTTAATTGTAATATTTTTAAAGTACACACAAATAGAATAATCTCAATAAATAATTTAAACAATTTAACTATTGTATATAAACGCCTGGATTAAGCTAAACAGAATTTAAATTGAAGGTAGAAGTTTTGCGGAAGTAATTTCAATACTTTATGTTTTATAAAATTTAATTTAAATGTAATCCCAATAAGTGCTAAATATTATTTTTGTTTTCTTATGTTGTTTTAAGCACTCATTCATATTGTCATCCTTTAATAAAGGTTATTTGCAGGCGAAATTCAGTACGCCGGCACAGCTTATTTAATGGACAAATAAAGGTGTTCTCCTTTTGGACATTATTTTTATGAGAAGACAGAAAATAATTATTATATAAATATACAAAGCTAATGAATCCAATAAGTCAAATCTAAAAAATAATAAATAATAAAAAAATTATAACAATAATTAAAATAAACTATTAAAGTCCTGAAGTCTGTTTAATGACAGAATTTTGGTTGATCAGTGAGGATGGACGGCTCAAATTTTGAAATTTCGCGATAAGTCGATAGCTGTTCGATTGCAAAACATATGTAATGTTAACGGGAGCATTCTCAGGGTGATTAGTGTACTTTGGAGATGCAAAAATTTTCCGGATGTAAACAAACTATATATTTAAATTGAGTTTAAAAACATAGACAAGTAAGAATGTTTATTTGACTATTCGTAAATGTTAACTAAAGAACGACTTACTCGCTTTCAGAAAATGGAGGAAATTTGTCGTGTTTGCCTGGGGAACCACGATAACATGGTCAATATATTCGCAGGGACGCAGGGATTTGGAGTTCCTATCTCGGATATGATTGCTAAGTGGTCCGGCTATCAAGTTAAGAAAGGCGATTCACTTCCTGAAACCATATGCCCAACTTGCCTGCAAGATGCACAAAATGCTTGCGAGAATGAACACAAATTTGTATGTCAAGTGATGGAAGTGAAAGCCATCAAGAAGGATTTCCTTGAGAAACAATTTTCTAGTCACGAAATCAAGAAAGAGCTCAGAGAAGAAGAGGAATTAATCGAAAACAAGTCAATCCAGGAGTGCCATACTCCACTTGTGAACGAACCAATGGAAGTTGTTTTTGCCAAGGATAAATCCGATATACATATTGAAATTTCAGACGTCGAAATAAATCTATCTGATATTCAAGAGGAGGATGTGAGTAATATTCCGATCAGTGGAATTGATCAATTGGATTTCAACAATCAAGAAATCGAAGGTCTTGGTTCAAGAGATAAGATTGAGAGTGACGATGATGATATAGATACCACCAATAATAACGTTAAGTGTCCGAAGTGCCCGAAAACGGATAGGCATGTTCGTAATCACAAAGAAAACAACTGTTCCCAATGTTCCAATTCCTTCTCTCAAAAATATACTCTTAAAAATCACATCAAGACTCATACTAATAAGGCACCATTTGAGTGTGATCAATGTCCAAGTTCCTATTGGTCGGCATCAAATCGATCACCTCCAACTGAAGATCGCCTGAAGTCCATTACGGATCCGAGTTTTTCTGAGGACCTTGTCCCGTTGCATGCGAAGTCCTTTCCTGAATTATCTATTCTGGAGAAACATAACAGTGTTCACACTAAAGAGGGTTGTTTGAAGGTGGATGCTAGAAGTCACACAGGCGAAAACGCGTTAAAATGTGATCAATGCCCAAAGTCCTTTAAGTATCAATCTGCTTTGAAGGAACACATCCGTGTACATACAGGGGAACGACCGTATAATTGTGATCATTGCCCGCAGTCTTTTAAGCATAAAGGTGATCTTCAGCGACACATTTTGATTCACACTGGGGAACGACCGCTAAAATGTAATTTTTGTGAAAAGTCTTTTAGAAATCATACTGCTCTTAATGATCACATCCGTGTTCACATGAACGAACGATCATTCAAGTGCATGCAATGCGATAAGACTTTTCAGACTAAGACTAATTTAAAGGTACATGCTAAGAGTCACACTGATGAAAAACCGTTTAAATGTGATGAGTGCCAAAAGTCTTTTAAGTATCATCATGCATTTAAGGTGCACATCCGTATCCACACGGGGGAACGACCGTATAAATGTGATCATTGCCAAAAAGGTTTCAGAGATCTCGCTTGCCTCCAAAGGCACATCCAGACTCATACGACGGAACGACCGCACAAATGCAATAATTGCGAAAAGACTTTTAAGAATTCCGTTTGTCTTAGGGTGCACCAAAGAGTTCACACGGGCGAACGACCTTTTAAATGTAATTATTGCGAAAAGTCCTTTGGGCATCTCGCTACTCTTAAGGTGCACATCAGGAGTCACACGGGTGAACGACCTTATAAATGTGATTGTTGCTCAAAGTCATTTAAGCAATCAACCGATCTTAGGCGACACATCCGGACTCACACAGGCGAAAGACCGCTTAAGTGTAGTTATTGCGATTCGTATTTTAATGATTACACTTGTCTCAGGAAGCACAAGCTAATTCACATGAGGAAGCGATCGGCTTAGTATTTTCACTGTCTGAAGATATATTTGGAACCATACGCTCTCGGGCGCAAAAAGTTAAAACCTGAGAATTTCTAAAATAAGTTTGACAACAATTTATATAAATGTATATAAAGTATATAAATCAAAGTAGATATTAATTAGATTTTTAATATTTTTGATGTAAGTAAATAAATTTAAATTTTATAGAACGATTAATTTATTAAAATATTTTTCCAAGGAATAGATTTTGGATCATGTAATCAAGTGCGAGTACAACTGCATAGATACAATAAAATTTGTATATAAATGTAATTACCCAGAGACCATTAGGATTCACTATCCCCTTATGATGACCTTGTCAGGCGGATCATACAAAACACTTGATAAAGGCCGGAAAAAAAGCATAGTTTGGTTTAAATAAAAAACTTTAAGTTTTTGTTTACCTTTTAGGACTAAATCTTTTTTTATGTCAAATATCCAAAGAATCCTGTATAAAAATAGACCTTTTAAGTTCAAGATTGTTGTTTAATATTAATCTGAGTTCAAAATAAAAAATGTAAGGTAAGTGGCTATGACCAAAGACAAACACACATTTTCAATCAAAATCTGATTAGATTTATTGTTCAATAACGCTTTAAACTAACTAGATTTCAATACTCGTAATTCGCTTTAAAATTCAACAAAATTAAAATCATAGGAGAGCTTGCTTAACAATACACAACGTAATCGTAAATAATGCAATGAATTAAGAATAAGTTAGCACATTGAGAAGTTTAGTTGCGGCAAACGAAAGTGATGAATGAGTTGCTCTATAAGCTAGATAAAAGTAGTTTTAACCAAATCTAAAAGAGGCTATTTTAGGTCGTAATAAACAATATGCTAAGGCACCGAATTGGTAGCAATCGCAATGGGCCAGGTTGTGGGTCCCTTAAGAACAATGTCCTCGAGAGCATTCTTGATCTTGATAAAGCGCCGCTTGAACTCCAAACCGCAACCCTTAGACAACCGGAAGTCCACGAGGATCTTGCCATCCATCTCGATGATGTGCGCCTTGAATACCAATCGCAGCTTATTCCGATCGACAGTGGAAACGGTGACTACTCCATCATCACCAACTTTGCACGTATAGCCACCCAATCTTTCAATAGTTCCCACCAATCTCTTGATGGTGTCGTCCCATCGCGTGGTTACAAAGAATCGAGTCATTCTCCTCACCAAGCGCTGGAAATAGTTCTGGGAGGCGCTCTGCGTTTGGTTCATTTGCGTGGCGAGCAGGAGATCATCCAGCAAAGCAGGTTGCGAGAAGGAGTAACTAAGTCGTGCCTCTTGGGCCATGGCCTGACGATCGCCACCATCCTCTTTGGATCGACCGCTGCGCAGTCTCACATCAAAGTCATCGTCGCTGCGCATCGTGGGCATGGGCTGAGAGCAATAGTTTCGGGAAATGGAATCATCCAGGCCACTACTTAAATGGGCACTCGACTGCAGGCGTTGCCTCTTAGCCTTCGGTGAGCAAATCTCTAGGGCAGCCGCCGAGTCCACCAGGTCATAGGAACGTTCTGCGGATGAAAAGAATATGAGAATATTACTATATGCTTACTAGAAAATATATTATATGAACTACATCATGTAATTTATTCTTCCATTTCAGAAATGTTAGAATTAAAAGGCATCAGAAGCTTTAATAAAAACTTTTTTAAGTTATAATGAAAAAGGATGAACAAAATAATAAACACAAAACGCAAAAAGCAACTTAAGCATAATGCAAAAACCATTTGGTTTTTGGTAATAAAGCTCTATGGAACATAAGCACACCATACAGCTAAAATCACCAAAGAGCAAATAATATGCAAACAAAAGAGGAACTCATTAGTAAAATAATAATAAAAAAGTTAAATAAGGCACCGTCTTAGTTAAACTTGATGATTGATCTGCAAAAGCCAATGCTTTGGTAATCTAGCTTTATGAAGTAGTTTAAATCTATCATACAGCTAAAGCGCCAAAGCAACGGCAAGGCAGCTACTTTATTTAAAAACTAGTTCACATATTGCTTTTATTGCAATTATAGTTAACACTTTTAATGGGGAGAATGCTTCACTGGCAGCACAGGCACAGAGCGACTCCCAAAATGTCGAAAGCATTGAGAGTCACTAAGTACCTGAGCCATCGAGTGGGCTCAAAAATATATGCACTACTGAGATATACACTGACACTGTTCCATATGCACTTTGTATAAAAATGTTTACCATTGTCTGCAAACTGCATGTTGCACCACTTGTGATCCAAGGTTTTCTCCAGCGTCAAACGCGTACCAGGGCTGGTCGCCAAAAGTTTGCGGAGCAGCGAAATGGCCAAAGTGTCCAGTTTGCTCCAAGGAGTCTGCAATTGCCAGTGATCGTTATCCTTCCAGTTAATAAACTCAACGCAATTGGCGGAAGGCTGATCCCAGGGTAGTTCTGAAAAACATCAAAATTATATTAATTTAATGGATATGAAAATATAAACATAGTAGTATAACACATGAAAGAATTGACTTGGCAAAAGCGAGTGAAATTTAAAAAATCATTCCTGTGGCTGTTTTTGTTGCTGGTGCGTTGTTAAGCAATTTAAGCTGGAGCTTTGGTATAAAAGCTTTAGATGATATACAATGTGCGTGAAACAATCTACAGCTAGAATACCAAAGAAACAGCAAAAATGATAAAAAGTGCGAGAGGAGAAATGTGAGCATTAAACCGAAAAAAAGAGAATATATAATGCATGTGACTGATTTGATTCCGTTAGATGCGAGGCTATGTTGATGGCAATGCTCTGGAGTATTTTCCTTTAATGGTTTTTCACTGTTTTCTGTATAATATGAGAGTGCAGAAAAATCACGCAAAATAACACAAAATTAATTAGCGAAAAATTGTGCATTAAAAATGGAGCACATGTAAAGCGATGTTGCTTGGGAATGAATTCCACTAACCTCCTGCCAGCATAGTGACTAGAATAACGCCACATGACCAAATATCCGCAGGCTGCGCGTGATAAGCCTTCTGGAGCACCTCCGGGGCCACGTACGGCAAGGTGCCGCAGCGCTTGTCCAGCAGTCGCTCCTTGCCCTTGCACCTGTTCCATGGTAATGCCAAATTTACATCCAGATCGCGACCGTCGAGAATTGAGGGGGAAAGAGAAAAGAAAACATAACAGAGAATTAAGTTCAGGCTCCAATTACACAGGGAGAAATTCATACTTTCTTTAGAAATCACTAAGAAAATAAATGATTTAATGATTCCAGAGAGTTGGCTTATGTCTCTTAAACGCAAAAAATAAATGTTTCGGTATCATTTTCTTTTTGTAGTTATCCTCGTATCATTTTGATTGAACAGAAATCCCTTTTAAAACTAAAGCCAGCAAATTTAACTTAGCGTCAAATGATAGAAAGATAGATTGAACGTTGAAGTGTAAGTAAATAAGCTTTGTGTCGCTGAATTGATGATTTAGGTGAAGTTCGGGAATAAACTTATAATTGCTGACTGTTTTTGTTTGCAACTATTTTAAACTATCTAATGCAGGCTAACGATTTAAATGAGTTTTTGCTTAGTTGCAAACTAAAACCTCTACGGGCATGTTTAGTTTGACTGTTTGTGCCGCCAGCGTTTTTAATTAACAATTCTGCTTGTTGGTCAGTTTTACTCTGGAAAACTTTATTTTGTCGGTTAGCCAGCGTTAATGGATTTTATACGTTTTCACGCTGCTTGCGTTTAATTTCAATTATTTGTCTAGGAGTAAATTACAAATAAATGTTTGTCAATTTATGAAAACAAAATCTTGAGTTTTAAGAAATGTGAAAAAAAGGAAATCGAGGCCAGCTGCTCTTTGTAATCTTTTATCTTTACTATTCCATGTTCTAATCATGGTTTAAAATTTTCTTTAAATTCTTTGAATTTCATTAATCTACAGTGTTGTACCTAATACCTAAACATGGTGGCCATGCCAAAGTCGGATATCTTCACGTTGTCGTGCTCGTCCAACAGCAGATTTTCCGGCTTAAGATCCCGATGGGCGATCCCACGCTGATGCAGATAATTCAGTCCGGACAGGAGCTGAGTAAAATATCTCTGGGCCTCATGCTGCGGCATTCCCACATCGGGCTCTGCAAAATAAAAAAAAGTCACATAAAAATATCTCATTGAGAAATGTTAAAAAAATTAATTTTTGTGTTAATATAAAAGCATTTAATGTTAGTTAAAAAAAAAAAACGAAAGAGGGTGCTTCGGAAATTAAATTACAATTTGTGATATGTTGAATATATATTTTGTATATTTTTCAGCAAAAGTGAATTCATGGAAAAATATGCAGCGAAGCAAAACAACCAAAGAGAGGTCAGTTTGGGCAAGTGGAAAAACAAATGTTCTGCATCCGGCTGTGCGTGTGTGTAAAGGATTTATGGGCTTAGCCGGTCGCAGGTTCTTCCATGGAACAACAACAGTAACAGGATGAGACACCCACAATGCAATCAACAGTTTTATAAAATTTTAATCAAAGCCCGGACGCAAAGAATGCCAAAATGTTTGTTTAGTTGTCATGTTTACGTGTTGGTTTTGTAGTCAAAAACTATAAGAGGAAGGTTAGCTTCTTGTTTTCTTTCTTGTGGTCGTTCTATAATACTTAAACCCTTCTATTTCTTCATATTAGATTTAAAATAAAATAACAAATATTATTATGTTAAATATATATATATATTCAAAATCAGACATTCCATTTATATTGTTTCTTTTAGTATTTGTGAACTTTGTTTGAGTTATTTTATTGGTTTAAAAATGAGTAGGACCTTAACCTCTAACTAATGCGAACTTTAAAATCTTTGAACTCAGAAGTGGATTGAAATCATCAGACGGAAGATGTAGAGAAGGTTATCATCGAGGTCTACCAATAGCTAGACAGATTGTATTTCCCCTGCCTTTAACATGATTGACTGCCAAAGGCAGCCACATCCTGCAACAGAGATCTCATCTCATTTGCCCCATGCATCCGCCATCTATCGATTTTACCTTTTACCCTTTGACTACCTTTCACCCTTTGACTTTTTGGT